GCCATTTTGAATCCAATCTGAAAAATAAATGACGTGCATCAGGAACCTGTAACGTCTAATGTGTGTTATAAGTTTGAACAAAATCCATCCATAAATGCTTGATATTTGATGATTTTTAGCACAAAAATGACAACCATTCGGCCATTTTGAATAGGATTGTCAAACCAATATAGCTGCCTATCTATGACATGATGTACATGTATAATGAATATTTAAAATTTGAACATAATCAGTCAAAACAAGTCGGAGATATGGGTCTAGAAGCCCATTCATTAAAAAAAAATGGCTGCCAGTCGGCCATTTTGAATGTTATCTGAAAAACAAAATTATTTGCATCAAGGTCCCATAATGTCTAATATATATATCAAGTTTGAACAAAATCCATCTATAAACAGCCGAGAAATGCTTGATTTTTACGATTTTTTAGCACAAAAATGGCCGCCATTCGGCCATCTTGAATAAGATCGTAAAACAAAATGATGTGCATCAAGGTCCTATAATGTCCAACGTATATACAAGGTTTGAACAAAATCCATCTGTAAACAGCCGGGAAATGCTTGATTTTGATGATTTTTAGCACAAAAATGGCCGCCATTCGGCCATCTTGAATCAGATCACAAAACAAATTGATGTGCATAGGTATGATATCATGTATGATGTATGTGTGAAGTTTGATTGTGATTGGTTCAGGCACTCAAAAAGAGTTTTAAATTAGTGATATCGGATAAATGTCAACACTGCAAACTATGGTTATAGTCCTAGTGATCCTGTGCTATAATTCTTTCAGAAACTTGTTGCAACCTTTACAATGTGTGCTATGGAAATCTCCCATACTGCAAAAAAACTAACAGTCTTTTTCGATTTCCAGCATAATGATTTAGTAGTGCCTGAACAAATAGCATTTCACTTATACCTAAGCAGCATCAAATCATGCATCACCAAAGCAAGTAACACAACCTTAAGTCTAAAAAAACAATTACTAGTTTTTTTATTTCTATTTTAAAATTGCTTTCATTTTTTCTCAGAAATGAATTTTTCTTTCTAAAATTCAGACAAAAAAACAAATCATAGCCAGAAATTTCTTTCTTCATTTTGTCTGGGCCTTACCTGTTGTAGCAGTGGTTTTAATATAGATGAACTCTGCCATCCAACATATGCAGCAACTCCAACAATGTTGTCAAAGAAAGCACCACGTAAATGCCAATCATTCTGTAAATATTGAAAAAACCATACATAAGATGAGATGAAGTACAATCCCAGTAAACAGAAATATACACTGTACCACAGCCCCTCAATACGTTAATATAGGCAGTGTAGGGATTATCGGTAAGCTACCTATACTAACGCGAAACATGCATTGTGACAGTGTGTGGAGTGTTGTAGAGCGTTTCCTAACCGGGTGTTGAGGGACTGTGATTGTACTGAGTAATGACCATTCTTTGAATTCCTTGCAGTTACAGATCTATATGCAAATTGAAACAGTGCATTTCTTACCATTAATTTGAATTATGATATCAACACAAGTTATAAGTTTCACACCCACGATTAAAATTTGTATAATTGCGCAGAGTCACATAGAGACCTACAAATGTAATCCTCTCCTTTGAAAACAACGTTTTACAAGACATGTCATGCTTGTATTTCAAACTGCTTTATTTAATATGACACTTAGGAAAGGCCAGTCATACGTTTTTCGAGTTGAATTTTAGCCAAAAGCAGCTCGTTCTGGAATGGCCGACTTATACATTTAGAGGGAGTAGTCAGCTTGGTCATGTTTCTAATACTACCAATAGATGTCGATGAAAGGGTCTTATTTTTCGGACTTTCAACTTATCTGTTGATGTTCTTTACTTTTTTAATTTAAAAACTATCCCAATCACTTTTAAAATCAATTTTTAAAATTTATAAGTTGTTTCTATGTGTTATTTTATACATAGAAATATTAGCTCTGCATTTCAAGTTGTTACCTTGTTTCCATGGAAAGCTTAATTATACATGTAGTTCAAAATCTGTACGGGAACTACAACTTTATTTAAAGAAGGTACCAGTATTGTCAGTAAGAAATATTAAGACAACTTATTAATTATTATATAACAATAAGGTGCTTAATGCAGGGTGCGTCTTAACCCTGGCGAGTGCTAATTGATCTACACTTAAACATGAACATGAAACACTGAGTCAATCTTAAACAAAATATTTAAAGTTGATAAAGTCAATTTATGCAGGTTTAGGGTCAAGGCAGTGGATGCAGTAAAGCGTTCAGCAATGATGTAATGCTATGCCCAAATATGGACAACGGCATAATCCAGAAAGTATATTTTTCAACCAATAAATGATTTAAACAATGAATGAATATCAGTACCATTGGACCTACAATTCTAATTTCATAATGTGGAAAGTCAACACCAGAGGGCGCTATATTAATGATATTATTTTTAGTGTGGGAGCACCAAGCCTTGGGTAATATGGTTATGATACACACAATAAAAAATACCCACACAGAATTCACTTGCAATATTTATGAAATGAAAAGTGAATTTTCTTACTTTATCATTAAGAAAGGTAATCATGTGTGAAAGGAGAACATCATTGGCTTTCTGTCTTCCAAAAAACACACACAGTCTCGTTATACCATTTTCCAATAAAGTACGCTTTACAATATTCTCCTGCAAAATAGACAAAACTATAAGTGAAGTCATACTTACCTTACCACCATTCATATTTAACTCTTATCTGATGA